TCTGGGGGTAAGCATCCGTTCAAATCTGAGCGGATAGTCGTCCGTGAGCGAGTATCCGTTCATTTTGGGTAAATAAACAATGGTACACAAAAAATAAAATTACTTCATTTACTCAAAAAGGGCAAATATTCGTCCAGGGGTAACTGTTCGTTCATTTTGAGTAAAATATAAACGTTGCACAAAAATTTAAGCTTTTTTATTCGTTCCATTTACCTGCAGCAGACGAGTATTCGTCTATGGGCGAGTACTTACTCACGTTGGGTAAATAAAAATTACTTTATTCGTTCCATTTACCTGCAGCAGACGAGCATTCGTCTATGGGCGAATACTTACTCACATTGAGTAAATAAAAATCACTTCATCCGTTCCACTTTCCTGCAGCAGACGAGCATTCGTCTATGGGCGGATACTTACCCAGATTGGGTGAATAAAAATTGAGATCCAAACCTTAAAATTGCTCATTCATTCCATTTACCTGAAGCAGACGAGTATCTGTCCTAATGTCCTGTTGTCAAGAAGCCGCGTATACAAAAAAAATTATCTGCCTCCAGTCATCTCTCCGTCGTAACACCAACCTCTAAAAAGTACATATAAACGGAGTCTTTTTTTTTTCCTTTTCTTTTTCTTTTTCCTTTTTTCTTTTTTAATATCTATTTTTTATCTTTTTACCTCAATAAATCAGTTTTTTTTTTAAAAAAAATTTACTTTTATTCGTTCTTGTTTCTCGTAACCATGTAACTGAATAAACGTCTGGGCTTACTTCTTTTGCAATTACACTCTGGTAAACTCACCATTCCATCTCTGAAGTCCCTCCCCTTACTTATCTCTCTTTAAAATCAGCATAGACAGGTGTATAAAGGCCGTGCTTGCAGTGTACTACGCCAGTGCTATAAGTAAGTGTTTTTTGTTTATGGCTTTTCTTTCTCTAATTATCTCTTCAGACTTACGCTTCCTGCTTTTACCGTTGTGGCGGCTACTCTGTTTAGAAAAGGAATTAGTACGTATCAATTTTGAGTCTTCTTATCATAAACTAACCTAATATTCATTTAGAAAACTTTGGTTATCTCCCTTGTTTTTAGATTATACGTTGCTTCCTACACAGAATAATCAATGACTTCATGTTATGCCATGTACCGTTTACTTTTTAGCTCATTTAAGTAGTAATCCTTCTACATAGCAATTTGTCCCTCAAGTATCAAAATATAAATAAATCTTACTTTCATTCTTTTAAATAAAATATATAATCAACTTTTAAAACTGCAAACCAATTTTTTCAAACGAATGAATGTATTAAATGATTCAATATGTATAAACGAAAGTTTTTTATTTCGCTGAAGGCTGAAAGGGAGAGCTGATTTTAAAATATACACCCCCTTAATTATGCATTTAATCCGGTTTTTTTTTTTTTTTTTTTTTTTTTTGGGTAAATGGGTTAACGCTTACTATAAATTCGTCTAAACGAGTAAATGGGTAAATTTACCCAATTCACTTTTTTTGGGTAAATGGGTAAACACTTACTAAAAAATTCGTCCAAACGAGTAAATGGGTAAATTTACCCAATTCGTTTTTTTTGAGTAAATGGGTAAACACTTACTAAAAATTCGTCCAAATGGACGAATCGGGCGAAACATTATAGCCTTGGTGAAACTATTACTGCATCTATAATTATAATACATTTGGATTTGTGAACATGAAAGTTTAAATTAATTCTACTACGTCATGTTACTATGGTTGCTGTAAGAATTTGGCTTAGTTGGGTATAGTGTGCATCACTGTATCATTTTCTATGGTAAATGTGTTTGTTAGTTGTTCAATTAAATAAAAGTCCAAAGTATTTTAATTGGAATTATAAGAGCATAAATAAAAAAAAATGGTAAAGGGAAGAAAAGATTAAAATCAAGGGGAAATGCCATCTGTAGTCTTTCAAGGACTGTAATAGTGCGACCCGGATAGATGAGGATTATATGTCAGAAGATAAATATGATTGGATAAGAATATTTATCTTATATAATCACAATGAAATATAAAGTAGAAATAGAATAATGTTTTATTGATAGAATTTATGATAGTTTATATAGTTAAGATAATTTAAGTTAATGGCTAAGTAATATAAGAATGATAGGTTTAGAATTGTTGAGGAGGCACCTTTGAAGAGGCACCTTCAAAGTGGCACCTTTTTGCATCTTGTCTTTCGGTCCTTAAACCTTAAGTATTACAAGGACCTTAACTTTAAAGTGACTACTATCGACATTTTAGCCGAGCGAGTTTCGAGCGAGCATCGATCGAAGCTCGCTCGAACCCAAAAAAAGTGGCGCAAGCTCGAGTACAAAAACTCGGTTCGAGCTTCGTTCGAACTGGCGCAAGATCGGTGCAAGCTCAAAAAGTTCGAACACTAGTCCCTGTTCGATATAAGTGCGTCCCATAACGGATCCTTTCTGGGGTTGTCCTTCATCTTCTACTTCGACTGTATTCAACTCTTCGAACAAAACGTCTTCCATCATAGCATTCAGTAATTCGTCTTCTAAATATTCTGAGCAGTTGTACATTTTAAATAATAAGTTTGTATTAAATAAGATAAATGTAAAAAAAATCAGACAAGTTACAGAAAATAATAAAATACAATCATTTTTCGGTTAATTAAACGTTTATGTCGGATTTACTAAAAATAATCCTTTTTTTTTAATCCACGGTTGGGTGTAAAAAAATTATGCACATCTAAACCTTGAAAATTGAGCCAGATTTAATTAAAAAAATAATCCACGGTTGGGAATGCTCTTACCTGGATACAAATGACGTGCACTAGACTTTCTAATTCAGTGTTAAGATAATACATCTCTTTTCCTCCATTATCGTTTAAATACCAAGATTCGATGTTCTGGATTTCTTTTCCGAATTTTTTTTTTACATTCATAGCTTTCAAGGTCTAATAACGTATATTTAATGAGCACATGAGATATTCTGTGCTATTAAAAAAATGGTTAGTTGCTGTAGTACAAGTTTCCAAAAATTATAAATAAAGACTGATCACCTTTCTTGTGTTATGTATTTCAATACTTCATAAATTCGTATTTACATAATAGTATATATTTTATTGGTTGTATGCTTTATTATTCAATTGTATATGTTTGTTATTGGCTGTAGCCATTATTATATGTAGTTTTTGCAGTTATATTAAAGGTGTTTTACCACGATATTAATTTCTAGTGACTTCTTTTATCAATGTTTCATCAAACCCATTTTTTTTCCTTTTCTTTTTTTGCATATCTTTACTAAAGTTCTTTACCTTTTCCTTTTTTTCCTTTTTTTTCCGATTTGAGATGTATAAATTCATACAGTATGTCTCTAAAAAGATTTTACAGTGCATCTATTATATAATGAAGATTTTTGTTCGCACCTGTAAGTAAATCACATGTCAAATAAAAAGAGAACAGACTTATTATATCATTAAAACGCGATTATAAAATACGTTCAATGCAATGGGCGCTTATATTCTTGTGCACTCGTTTAAAATTCCTATTTGATGCCGATTTGGTAGACTGAGAGACCCTATACAGACGAATTGTATTTACATTAATACTAATCCCTTTTATATTTCTGTCTCACTATCCGAAGATTAAGACAACAAAAGTCTTCCACAAAATAAAAAATTATTCTAACACAAAATTACAATACATATGTTTTATCTGTCGATTATGTACTGTACGTTTTGAAGGCAAACGCATGCGTAACTAAAAAAAAAACAACGGGAAATGTTAACCAAATGATAAGAGTGCTGTAAGTCTTCCGGTTCCAAAATGTTCCTTAAAGAAATTTTGATTCTAATGGAACGCTCCTTTAATTTTTTTGGTCTCTTGCGGAATCGCTCATACTTGGCTTTGGACTCTTAATATTGCCTTGTGCGTATCTAAACAGGCCATGCTGGTTTTATTTTCTTACTTGGAAGGAGTAGCCTATTTTGAAGCAGAACTGAAATTAGCTACATTACAGTTAAACGTGTGCCTACGTACAGCAATTAAAGACTTAAAAAAAGTTGTACTTTTATTATTAAATATAATAATAATCCAGAGTAATTTTGTTTTCTATCGAAATTTTGTCAGATACCTTAATTCCCATTGGATTTGATATTTTTACTGTTTCTTTAAAGATTCTTTTATCAGCGCTCCATTAAAAGTGTTATGTCAAGATATAATGGGAATGAGCGTAGTATTCTCAAAATGTCAAGATAGTTACTAGCAAGAACACAACCTGATAGTGTACATATCATCCACCCCGACTTGGAAACTTTTGTAAGTTTTTTTTTCACCAGAGGAATTAAAATCAATTGCTTACTTTATTAAACAATTTGGGTTATTGGTTCATTTTAGTTTTGTTACAAATTAGTTAATATCTATACAATGAAGAGTGAAATAACGCCGATATAATTGATAGCATCAAATGTATATCATCCTGCCTGATATTTTGGGCTTTGACCCGAAAAGCAGAAAATATTTATGCATATTGTCTGCAATTATATTGATGAACAAATGATTAAAAAGCCAGGTAACTTATTCTGCTCCCTGTTCTACAAGAAAAAAAAGAATGTAAGATGATTTCAAGTTCTATTTTGAAAAATATTAATACATTAGTGGTACAAGCATATCCCGATCATCAAATCTCAAGTTAAATTTAATCTACCGTCAAAATAGTGCGTTTGGAAAAAAAAAAGGAGCCCGGTTGCATCTTATGACATAATTTTAGTGTTAAAAAAGGGAACCCGTGTTGAAGATTATATATATAAAAAAGAATTACAAGATATAATAGTATCATCCGACAGATCATATCGGCAATTAGCTACAACTTTAGATTGATCAGATTAAAAAATAAGATTTTAAAGAAACCAAAGTTTTTCTTAATAAGAGAACGGATATCAGTCTAGAAGATCTCATGATTTAAAATGTTATAAAATGTAAAACCATTGCAACGATGTACAAAAAAAAAAAAAAAAAAAAAAAAAAAAAACTGCATTTGAACACTTGGATTGTGTAACGGATTTATTTATTTTTTAGATTTTCTTTGCAATTAAGACCGAGTTGACAACATCGTTATATGGATGCAAAACCAATACAGTTTCAAAACCACATGTATTAACTTGATAAGGTTCTAAAGAAGGGTATAATAACTTACGCAAAGAATGAGCGCTACGAGCCATTAAAAACGAACCGGACTTCATTTTACTGCCGATGGATTTTAAAAATTTCATTTTTTCGGTTGCATCCTCACCTACAAGAGCGCCCAAGATGACCACATCTGATGTGGCGAAACCAGAGTAATCAACCGCATCCATTACATGTTGACGGAAGCCATGAGAGATATTTAATTTTTCCAGGAGCTTATTAGAGATGGTAATGGAGTCCTGATCTCTATCGATATTATGCACAATGGTGGAAGAGGGTAAACTCTGATACATCAAGATGGGAGAGAGAGGTAAAGGGCCGCTTCCAATAAAGACAATGTTGTTTAAACAAGCACCTACACCATGAAGTGCATGTAATTCCAGTTGGACCAAATCAACGTAGTTTTGATAGTAAACAAATCGTGATAGATCAGGCTTGGCTTCTTGATTGTAGTCTTTTGCTTGATAGACGAGATCATTTGCCCAGGTCAATTCAAGGAAATATTCACCTTGCGATGCCATTGTACGAAGAGTAGGAATGAGAGCACGTATATTGGCATTGTTTAAGACATCAGATACAGTAGTATCATCGTACTGAAATGTACTAATAGTGACCAGTTTTGTAAATAAGGCATTGACATGTTCACTAGGTTTGAGATAATCAATTTGTCCTAGTTGGTAATGAACATGTGTAATTTCATCAATCAGAGTAGAGGCTACAGAAGTATTTACAGATTTTTGAAGAGTGTGGTGATGACATAAGGTGTCAGTTGTAGCAGGAATAGTATTGAGATTATGGACCATTTTTTAATAAGAGAAAGAAAGATAAAAAAAAAATGCTGAGGAGAGAGAGAGAGAGGGGGGTTTATGTCAGTAGAGACAAAAAGTAATGTGATTAAAACAAGATGGATTTAATCCAAAAGGGTTTTTGATGTTTGAAAGAGAAGCACAAGAGAGATGCGGGTTTGGACCCATGGCTTTAACTTGGTTGCAAAAAAAAAAAAAAAAAAAAAAAAAAATCTGAGTACATAATAAATGCGACGGATGTTTAATTAAAGGTACAAGAAAAAACAATAAAAATTTTTGATCAGACGATGGTTCGTGTCACTTTTAATTATACACGGTGTAAATAAACATTGAAAAATTTCAATTGTTTGTGAATCTTGTAACATATTTTGGTAATTGTACCGACAGCCAAATAAAATAATAATAATAATAATGAAAAAAAAGGTTAAAATAAAAAAAAAAAAGCAAAAAAAAAAAAAAAAAAAAAAGTGCAGATGCTGGGATACAAGCCATGTTGTACACCATGTTACATTTTTTTTTCTGTTGTTTTTTTGCCAGGTTGGTTTCTAGGGAAACAGTAAATTGTGTTCATGGATGTTGAATGACTTGAATACTTTTTCTATCTCTTTCCCTTCTCTCACGAAAACTTTTGGTACTCTGCTTTTTACGGATGCCCTGTAATGATAATGCATATTCCTCGCTAAGACTTGTTGAAGATTCATTATGAGCTAAAGCAGTGGGGCTGGAAGTTAAATTACTACTACTTCCATTATTATTATTATTATTATTGAATTTTCGTATTGCGCCCATACTGCTTCTTTTCCAGCTTTGATCTTGATCGTATTTGCCCAGAGCTAAAGCAGGACTTGCAGTAATGTTGCTAGTGGAAGCGGATTTATTAGGTCCTCGCCAGTTACTATCACCTACATTGTCTTCAAAGTCATGATTGCCTGTCATTATTCTTTTGATAGGTAGTATATCTCCTTGCTCCGCGCCCTCAAAAGCAGGTTTAACCCAATCCGGTGGATCCCCAACAGTCATTGTAACATGGTCTTTAAATCCTTCATATTTTTCAAAGATTGTAAAATCAAAGTATTTGAATTTCTCATCAATCATATTTAGATCACGTTCACGTTTACTCGTAATCGCATCATTTAAACTCTTTCGATTGGATTTATGCACTCGTTTGGTAGTATGTGCTGTCAGTGGTGATTCTTCCAAAAAGAGCTCTTCTAGATCGTATGTTAGGTCAAAGTTGTTTTGGGTTGCAGGCACAAATATAGGTGGTATTGATTTAGACTCGAGTTTATTCCAGTTGATCGGTCGAAAAAATGGGTGTCGTACTAATGCTGCCCATCCCGCATCGCCATATCCTAATCTTTTGTTGGGGTTGACTTCCAGAAACTTTATTTTGCATATGTTAGTATCATGGACCCTGACTTTTTTATTATATGTAAATTATCCCCTTACTCCTTGTATCACTGCTAAACATTCGCCTGACACTTGACGGTCCTTGGTAGGATATTTCACATATCCTCTTCGTATCGCTGCCTGTAAATCCTCTGAAGTTTCATATTCAAACGGTCTCTAAAGAAAAAAATAAATTGTTGCTCTTTAGTTATGCCTTGTAAATAATTAAAAGTTGGGGGAAACTCACTTTTTGGTATATACATTCATACAGCGTGACACCTAAACTCCACCAATCCACAGCTTCATTATATCCTCCACCTTTATAAACCTCGGGTGCTGTTATATGCAATTTTTAGTTGTACACTTTCTTTTTGTCATTTCAGTTTTTTTTTTTTTTTTTTTTTTTTTTTCATCCTCCCCTTACCTATATAATATCCTGTCCCTGAATTAGAAGTCAAAGGTCTATGTGCATGAAGATGAGTGGCAATGTTGAAATCGGCCAAGTGAACATGTCCTTTATCGTCCATTAAAATATTATGTGGTTTGATATCTCTATTTCAAAAAAAAAAAAAAATCACATGTAAGTGGGGGAGGTTGATGAGGGCAACCTATAAACTTATACCTGTGTACCACTCGTTTCAGATGAAGATATTTAATAGCCGACGCCAATTCAGCAAACCAAAAACGAATGATATCTTCAGAAAAATAGGTTTGACGTGATATGTGAAAGTGCAGATCCCCACCTAACCTGTAAAATTAAAATGTAGTGTTTGTAAAAACAAACAAGTGTGTATGCGTGTGTATGTGTACTTACATCAAGTCAGTCACCATGTACATGTAATCGTTGTCTTGGAAAGCAAACCTCAACCGGCATAAGAAGGGATGGTCCAGCTGCTCCAGAATCACTCGTTCTCGAATTATATTACGCACAGCGTCCATTCGAATACATTCCTCCTTGTCAATGTATTTCAATGCATATAATCTACGAGATTCTCGATGTTCAACGATGCGGACCTGTAAATTACTTGTTAAACACACATATTCTTTTAACACCATTCTTTTTCTCTTTCACCTTTCCAAAAGCACCACGACCCACAATGCGCATGAGTTTGAACTGAGATAAGGTCACTGCTTTCGATCTGTCATTATTAATACAATTCGTGGTGGGGGTGAATAGCAATAGAGCCTTTTTATACCTCTTTCATCTCCGTCATCAGACCGAATACTACTGCCACCAAGGGCAGTTGCTATTAATTCCGAAAAGAAACGAATGTTGAATTATTTTTTATACAGTACAGCAAAAAAGTTTGCTATACACAATCTATTGGGGGGCGTGGATGATCCAAACAAGATGAGAAAAGAGTCAATTTAAAGAAAAGGAAAAAACAAAATTATGAGAAACTTTCATATACAATTTTTATTTGGTCGGGACCTGGATTCTATTACTGAAAAGCATAACACATCAATGTCTAACCATTGCGAAAAGAAGAGAAAAATAAACGAAAGCACCTTGTGTTCGTATTTAAGATCTTTTTTTCCTCTACACTTTGAATCCTCAGATACATCTTTTATTTGAGTACAGGTACGTCGTTTTGATATAGTAAATGAGATGAAAACACAAAGTAACGACCAAATTGATAACTAGACATTCTGGCGCTGACAAAAAGTTAGACATACATAAGCGTTATATAAGTTAACCTATGGTTAATAGTGAATACTCTTTTAGACAAGACATCCTCGTATCCTCTGTTTAGTCTTTCATAACAAGTGCAGAAGCTGTCTAAAATCGTATTGGCCAATAACGGGCATAAATAAACTTTTTTTTTTTTTTTTTTAACAGAGATTAAACACCAGTCACCCCTCCTCCCCCCACCCTTCTTTTTATAATAAACAAAAATGTTGAGAACAAGTAGAATTTTATCACAACGTTTGGTTCAGCAACAACATGCATGGAAGGCCGTGGGAGTACAACATGTTCGAAACGTGACCAACTCCACTACAGACGAAAAGACAGGACCACCACCACAATATGGTACCTTTCGCTCTCCCGCTGCCGCATTGGGTGTATTGGATCCTCCTGTCGTTGATCATAATAATTGGATCAAGAGAAAGCAACAAAAGCTTCGGGATTTTGTTGACTATGAAAAGGCATTTGCTGCCCATGCTGCTGAACGTCGTCATTTGTAAGTCCTTCATGCCGTCTTATTTCTTTTTTTTGACATTGCCTACTAAAACGTCATAATTAGAGTTGAAGAGGCAACCAAATCCTATTTTGCTGATGTCCATGGTAAGAAGAAGGAAACTAGGGTTTTTTTTTAAAAAAAAGAAAAAGAGTATGACTAAATCATGGATTTGATAGAAATGCGTAAACATGGTGGAAAAATGTATTATGCAAGCTCACAAATGATCAAGCCAGAAAAGGCAGGATATATGCCAAATTTCGAAGCGCAAGATTTATCACGAAAGAAGATCAATACGACGGAAAAGCTTGTTGGCAAAGTGACGTTGATGAGTTTTGTGTATGCAAAGTTTGGAGAACCTCATGTGGAAACGTTTATCCAACCTTTTTTGAACAAATATAAAGGATCGAGCGATATTCAAGTGGTGGAAGTGAATGTACAAGAGAATTTATTAAAGCAATTGTTGTTGAAGGCATTTGTACCACTTATCCGTAAGAACTTGGCAGAGGAACGTAGAGATAATTATTGCTTGATTATGAAGGATATCAGCAAGACCCGAAAATCATTGGATATGACAAATCAATACATTGGGTATGTGTTTTTAGTTGATGAGAATTGTAAAGTGAGATGGACAGCTCATGGACCTGCAACGCCTGAAGAAGTCGGTAATATGTTGGCCATGACGGATTACCTTGTCGAAAAGAAGAATACAAGTGGTGGCAACGAAAAGAAATAAAAAAAAAAAAGTTTATTATTGGTTATTTTTTACTTAATTGATCTATTTTTTGGACAAGATCCAGAATTTGTGTTTTATACATTTCCTTGACATCAATCAGATCAGCTTTCAGTTCTTCCACTTCTTCTGTACGTTCACCTAGTAACTCGAGTAATGTGTGGTACCTTTGATTTAATTGTTCAAGTTGCTTTTCGACCTCATGTGTCCTTTTAGTTTCTTTACGTAAAGTTTCAATTTCTTGGGACATACTTAAGACCTCTTCGGATAACTCATCCCTGGACTGTGCTGAGCTTTGTAGTTGTGTTTGATAGAAATTTAATTGGTTTTCTAATTGTCGAGTATTTGCTTGAAGTCGTTCGACGAGAATAGAAGAAACAACAGGTGTAGTTGAACTACTATCAAAACTGGATCTAGAACTCACACTGGGTGGACTATGATGACTCGTGTTGATAACCATAGTGTCTTGTTGTTGTTGTTCCTGATTGGAGGAGATATGGTTTGCTCTTTCCGCCTTTAGTCGAAGTTCAAACTGTTTCTTTTCTTCGTTCACTCTTTCTCTCATTAAACGTTGATATTGAGTTTTTAATCCTTCTTGGTCCTTGATTTCTTTTTCGTTTAGCTCCTTTATTTCCTGTACTAGCGTTGCTACACGGTCCTCGAGTTGCTTTTTTTTAATCGCATCCGCTTCTACCTGTGCTTCCAATGTCTTTATTTTAGATAAAAGTCGCTCGATTTCAGCCTCTGATTGCTCTAGACGTCCATTTAAAGATTTGATATCAGCCTGCAATTTCTCATCCTTTTCGACGGTCTTTTTATGTTCAGCCTCAGCTGTTTGCATACGAATGATGATGCTAAAAAAAAAATATGAGTATGAGTTGTGAGGAAAATAATACAATTTTTTTTTTTTGTTACCTCTGCTCTGCTTGATCTCTGTTTCTGATTGCCAAAGCATGTTGAGTTTGTAATTCCTCAATCTGTCTCAGTAAAGGAGCGGTTGCTTCATCTACGGTAGCGCTGATATCTTCCATTTTATTATCAGATTGCTGTAATTTGGTTTGTAGGTCCGCCACTTCCTTTCTGAGAGCATCTTCACGTAAACCACCTTGTTCTTCGACGGTTTGTAAAGCGATTTGCAAGTCTCTGATTTCCTTTCTTAATTTTGATTCGAGGGATTGAGCGTCTTGGGAAGTTTTGGTGAGTTCTTTATGTAGCCTATCATTGGCCTTAATTTCTTTTTCAAGGGCAGCAGCATTGACCTGTTCGGCCTCCAATTTTGCCTTTGTGCGTTCATCGTCCATACTTTCGAGTGCCTTTTTCAGGGCCAATTCGGTCTCTGATGATTTTTTGGTGGTGGCTATTTTCTCAGATTCGAGTTTGTTGATGTGTTTTGTTTGTTGTTCGGAGAGATCTGATAATAATTTGACCGAATCCTGTAGTCTTTTCTCTGTCTCGGATTGTTTCGAACCCTTTTCTGAAGCCTGGGAAAGATCTGTCATGGCCTTTTCCAGTTTCTTTGTCTGATCCAGTAAAGTTTTATCGACATCGGCTTTCTCTAGCCGTAACTTTTTGATGAGTGTCGAGTGACGTAATTCGACTTTGGATAGTTTCTCTCCCTCCAGCATCAAACCCTGAATCTTTTCTTCTTTGGACGCCATTTGCTTTTTAAGGTCATCGAGAGAAGCTTCTAAGCGTTTGACGGTTTTGGCAAGGTTGGCGGGTGAGGATGTATTGGATTCGGCGGCTTCTAATTGTTGTAGAGCGGTTCTTACCTTGGTATCCGCCTCTTCTTGGATTTGGTGAATTTGGTCGTGTAAGTTGGCAATGTTTTCCATAGCTTGTAAGAGTTGTGTTTCACGTTGTTCTAGAATTCGGTCCTTATCATCTTTGGTATCTGTATCTTTTTTAGGGTTGCTAGGTGTGGTATCCACAAGTTCTACTTGTGTTTCGACCTCTTTTTCTTCATTCTCTTTTGGTGTGATATCTACTTGTTGTGTAGGTTCCACTATTTCCTCTTTTACAGGTGTATTCTCGACTATATCCTCTGGTACCTTTTGCACAATTTCTTTTACAGGTGCTTCTTCAGTCACTTTCTCCACTGCTACCTCTGTTGTTGAAGGCGTCACTTCTTTTATCTCTTTCGTTGACTCTATTGCCCCTTCTTTTGTGGGAGCTTCTGTTGTAGGTATAATAGGTGTTGTTGATACAGATTCCTTGTTCTTTTTTTTCTTTTCTGCCATGACGGCAGCTAATCGAGTAGACAAATCTAAACTTGAGCGCGATTCCTGTAGTACTTTTGTTTGTTCATCTTTTTTAGCTGCTGGTGGTGGTAATGGTGCAGTGCGAGGTCTTTCGATAGTAGTGACCATACCGCTGATAGGGTCCATATAGGTCTCCGTGTCCGTGTCTATATAATAAGTATGTATATAGAGAGAGAGAGGTCATGTTTAGGAGGAGAAAATTGGGAGGGGAAGGACAAAAAACGACATTTACCTTTGGTTTGCTGAGATTGTTGTTGTTGTTGAGGAGGTTGTTCAAGCAATGAATCAAAAGTGGTTTCGACATTGGAGATGGCTTGCTTCAGGAGACCACCCCACCTTGACGTAGAATCGTTTGAGCCAAAAAAACCGCTCATGGTGTTTTTATTTTTATGAAATAAAGTGTATCCAAAAAGGAGAGAGTGATTAAAAAAAGAAAAAAATAAAGTGTTTAATTATGAGAGGAGAAAAAGGGTTTTTTGAAAGACAGCAATGAAAATCAGTGCATTTTTTTTTTTGTTTTTGTTTATATGCCACGATTAAAAGAGGCTCGTCGTACGACCTTGGCAATGTTAACATAGTGTCTCTGTTATATTTAAAAAAACAACGTCAGTGAAATGAAAAATAAGGAAGAAAAAGATAAGGTGGATTACCTTTAAATTACACAACATTTCAAGAATATGGTCATTGTACAGAAAAGATTGAAATTCGGCCAATGTTTGTGGAATGAAGAGAGTGTTTTCACACACTTGGGATGCGACGTAAACACCCTTGTAGGGTTTCACAGAGTACAGGTAGCCGACATAACCTACGATATTTGCGTGTTATTTTAAAAAAGAGAGGATAAAAATAAAGTATTACTGAATTACCAATTAACTGAATACCGATAGGAAACACATCTTCTGTTGAATCATTGATTCGATAAGAGGAAATAGTGAGCTCTTCTAAAATAGATTTATTAACAAGAACTGAATGACTTTGAAAGATGGCCTCTCTATCATCGTTTTCAAGCTGTGTGGCGTTAAGCATATTCATTGTCATACCGCAAGTCGCTAACTCAATGTTGTTCTGGCGTCCATAATCGGTAGTCGTTTGCTGAGCATGACATTGGAATAAAATGGTATCGTTTGATATATCACTGTCATCTGTTATTGAGAACTTGGATTTATGACTAAAATATAAAATATTTATCAGTGTATTAATAGATAAGGAAAAAGCCCTTTCATAAAATGTCTCTCTACTTTTTCTTTTTTTTTTTTTACTTTGTAAGTTTAATGTTTGTTCCACGAAATAATATGTCAAATATATGAGTCCAGTGAATAAAAGGTTTTGAATGAAGGTTATGATGTCGAACACAAAAATTCGATCTATGTCAAAAAAAAAACCTGTTATGTTATATATTGATTGTTTTTACATTCATAATAAAATAAAAATAAGATCCACGTACATGTATTCAATGATATCTAACAATTGATAGTCAATTGTAGTAAACGGATTTCCCTTGTAAATCTGTATATTCTTCATGTTTTCGATGGTAGTAGCAACTTGATCCATACTACCCACTTGAAAAGCTCGTTTTAGAGGTTCAATCAAGTGATTTACTTCGTTGTGTTTATCTGCATTAAAATGAGGTAGTTTATGGATAGATCTCAAGATACTCAGGTCTGTGGACGTGAAGGCATTGTATTTCTTGTAAGATTCACATTGTTTCTTTCCCATAATGTTAATAATAGATGCACGTACTACTCTAAAAGAAGGCTTTGTTATTAGTACCCAATGTGAGCTTATAGGATATATACTTTACGGAATAAATGATGTTTCCACAGCGCTCAAGTCGCTCTCGTGTTTAGAGAGACTCTGATAGTAATTCATCAACTGATTTTCGAGCACCTTGTATGTGGGTGTAAATAAAAAAAGTAGCTAGATCAATCAAGATAGACTTTACCTTTTCTGTTTCGTATTGATCATATTCTTCCAGAAGCTGTGTGGGTACTTCATCTTTCTGTGATGTATCTGCAGTACTCACTTATGGAAGGGTTTGCGGGCGCTTAATACTAAATCATCAAAAAGTGATAAAACTACTTACTAAAAGCCCCCATTTCTTGTTTTGCACAATAAAAGATAAAGAGAAAGAGAGAGAGAGAAAATAAATAACCAAAAATAAAAATAAAAAAGTTTGATTATCATCGACAAAGAGTACAGATCATTTATTGACAATCGCATAGCGGGTATTTAAAATAGAGTTGTACGCAGCATTCTGATAAAGTGGGGGGTGGGTGCGAAAAAAAAATAAAATTATATTCCCTTTTTATTATAAAGAAAAACTATAATGTTAAGATCCAAGTTTTTGTTGGCAAGATGTTTGACATTTTCAGTGGTAACACCCAATATGAAACGTTTACCGGCGGCCATGAATTTACCAAGGCATGCAGTAAAGAGATTGTATGCAACAACGACAACAAAGTCTAATGTGGGGCCGCCCATGGGGGCGGCTAGACGTGTGGTTTCCCTGCCAACCAAAGTGACTGAAATGAAACTACGATGTAAAGTATGACATTTATTTTGCAAGTCGTGAGCTGTCGAAAAACTAACAAAAAAAATAAAATAAAAAAATATCAATATAGGCACCGAATTTGATCAGAATGGTGCTGTCAAAACAACCGCAGGTGACTTTTTCAAAAGTGACTTTTGTCAACATCATTCGTTATTACCTCGTGATTTAAGAACGATTGATACCTACTCCGTATACCAGAAACCCACGATACTTGTTCGACCGGAAGCTATCCTGGTGAGCATTGCGCATTTAAAGGCGTTGTTGAAGAGTGATATGGTTGTGCTTTTTGATACCTATGGATCGACCGATAGTTATAATCAAAGCATATTTATTTATGATTTGCAAGAACGATTACGGTCGCAAAAAGATGGATTGCCATTTGAATTTAGGTAACATCTACTCATCAAAGGCATAAAAAACTGGGTTACTAACAAAAAAAAAACAGAGCGCTGGAAGCCATTTTAATATCAGTCACATCGTCACTACAGTCAGAATTAGATATATTAGAAGGGCCCGTGAATAAACTCTTGGGAGATTTAGAGGATTTAGCAGATATAGAAGAGTCAATGAATGGTGACAAATTGCGAGATTTATTACAATTTTCCAAGAAGCTTGCAAAATTCGAACAAGATGCGTTATCGATTCGAGATGCATTAGAAGAAGTGCTAGACAACGGTAGGTTTTTCTTGTATCAGAAAGAGAGAGAGAGAGAGAAAGGGAGAGACTAATAATGGTATAGATGAGGATTTGGCGGCCATGTATCTTTCTGATAAAAGAGCGGGCAAGTACCGTGCGCCTCAGGACCATGAAGAAGTGGAATTATTATTGGAAGCGTATTATAAGCAGACAGAAGAAATTGCGGCTAAAGCGTCGACATTGAGACAACACATGCGTTCAACGGAAGAGATTGTGCAACTGATTTTAGATGTGTCACGAAATTCGTTAATGTGGTATGATATTCGACTGACGATTATTACCTTATCAGCTACTGTTGTTAGTGGATATGGAGCTTTATTGGGCATGAATTTAAAGAATTACTTTGAAGATGACCCATATGCCTTTGGTGTGATTTCGGGGCTTGCACTCATGTCAGGTCTAGGTGCGTTTGCCATTGCCTTGAGAAAATTAAGAGGACTCGCAAAGATCAAACCTTAAAAATAAATCATAATAAATAAACCGTGTGAAATTACAAAAAGAAGAAGGGGATTTTTTATTTTATGTATTATATGTATATTGTATATATTATATTTTGATTAGGGAGACTTAGATGGTAGCATTACGTACAACGAGAACGGGACAAGGACAATTTTTAAGACAGGCGTCTGACACGGAGCCCAAAAAGACACTCTTGACAGTACTTAAGCCACGCGAACCAACGATTAATAAATCTACCTTATGAGCCTCTGTATAACGGGGTAAGAGAGTCTTTGCGTCTCCCCACAAGATATGTTCCTCACTAGAGACATTGATTTGACGGAGTTTAGCAGACATGTCTTCCAGACGTTGACGAGCAGTTTGACCTTGAGGATGATGTTCAATGTCCTTGATGGCTTCATCCACCTTGGTAACAGTAGTAGAGAGCATGGGCAATTCAGCTTCCTTGGGCTTTTCATCCTTCTTGTTGAAAAGGGAAGGACTTGACTTTTCGTGTCTTTGGACAGCAGATAGGAGGATGATATGATCACTTTCAGGGCGAACAATGTTCTTGACGGACCAATCGAATAATCTGTCAGCATCTTCACTACCATCATAAGCAAGAGCAACACGACGTTTTTCAGTAATAGAGAGAGGCATTTGTTTTAGTTTTTTTTTTTAAAATAATAAAAGTATAGAAGAAGAAACTTGGGCTTCGGTGAAATTTTTATTTAAATAGTCGAAACAACTTTTATGCAGCTTTTAGGTTTCACTTTGGCACATGATGAAACTTTTGGGAAATGAGGTGATGTAAAATTAAACTCCCGCATAGAACAATAGACCATACACAACAAGAGGCTTTTCCTTTCAGTTTGATTTGAAACTATGACAGCAAATATGTTGTAAGTAAAATATTCCGTATCCTTCACTTTCTCCCTCTCTCTTTCTCTTTCTTTTTCTGATCTGGGAAAAGATGGTACAGTTTAAATTCCAGTTGTTTAAATTTGATGGTATTTGTCAAACTGTAGCGTTAACACTATGCCCTTTAATGGGAAAATTTGATGGTATTGAACCCATGTGTTACTCCAGAAATGTGGAATTTGCCGGATTACTGGTATTTCAACCTGGTAAAATAACGAAAAAAAGATGAACAGAGTGAGATCGGTATTTTAAAAAAGAAACGATTCTGTAGCGACTTTGATGATGGATTTAGGAGCGCTTTGTATGACGAGTGTCATGATTTATCACGTCAAGACGAAATATACCGCGGTTGGTAGAAAAGAAATCGCCATGTTTTTTCAATTATATTTGGTGACTATATTTCTGGAAATGTTATTGGTCACCAACATCATTCCGACCGCCTCCATCTTATATCCCGTAAATTTTTTAATTTTAGATATTGCTATTTGTACAGTGTAACTAAGATGCTTTTCACACTAGTTTTTCACGGCAGCACATCTGGGACTACTTAGCGCATGTTTTTGGTGCTTAATGCTGAATGGGTTTGTCGGATTTCAATTTGCAGAAGATGGCACGCCGATCAGTTTATGGGTTAGTCTCTAAATTTTATTTTGTTCACATTACACAAAAAAAGATTTTTGTGGTGTGAGAATATTGAGGGCAATAGTCACCAGATTATGTACTTACTGTATTCAGTCTATTCGGATCACATCGTTTTTGGTATTCTTCATTGTTGGGTTTATTGCCATGGCGACATTTAGTAATTTAGGGCCATTTAGTTATACATCGCCGGGCGCTTTATGGATTATCTTCTTTTTGGTGAATGGCTCTATGTTTTTGGTCTATACGGTGTCTCAAATCATTTTAGTCGCTTATACGCTGGACGACCGATGGCCATTGGGTGATATTGCATTTGGAACCATCTTTTTCGTGTCAGGCCTTGTCGTCATGTTTATTTTCTCCGTCGCACTTTGCGAGCAAGTCAAGCATTATTTCGACGGCCTATTTTTTGGAAGCATGTTTAATCTATTAGCCGTCATGATGATTTACAAGTATTGGGACTCCATCACCAAGGAGGATCTTGAGTTCTCCATTGATTCCAAACACCAGGCTTGGGAAATACAGGCCTTGTTAAAGGAAGACGAGGAAGTGGTGTGTCATTAGATCGTGCGTGTGTGTGTGTGGGTTCCGTGTAACTTTATCTGTCCAATCACATCATTGCATTATTTGACACACACATATATAAACAGGCAAGAAAAAACCCAAATCATTCCCTTTTTTTTCTTTAGTTTTTTATAAATAAATAAAATGACATTAATCATTCGTCAAATCCGAGCTCTTATTGCAGAGACACCTTTACGAAAGAAACAACATGATAATAAAAACAGCGAACAACACAACCGAAGAAAATCATTGTCTGTGAAAATCAGTAAAGAACCACCAGCTGTAGTGTATTTTACAAGGGATAAGCTTGAAGATTCGTTTGAATGCATATTTGATCCACAGGTGCATCATGATTCCGAAACAGATCATCCTGATTTGCTGTTTGCAAAGGCCAAGAAAACTGACTGCAAGCCATGGCAGAAGGCACCCTATTGTACTGCCAGCAATAAAAGCCCCACCTTCTTGACTCGATTCAAATCTTCATTCAAAACAACGCCTATGGCTGAACCCGTCGCCTGATAAAATATATACATATATATATATTTATTATCTCTTTTCTCTTCTTGATATATTATACCACTTGTAAATAGCTTTCTATGTATACCTTTGTTAATAAAAAAAAAACTTTTTAACCACAAAAAGCTGATCTAGAGTTTAAAGTAGTGGGAATGAGGGAGTACAAAAACTACTTTTGTACTGCTAAACGAATCTGGACCTATAAATAACATGCATTTAAAACACTTTAAGTGTTCACGTTACAACAAAGCAAAAAGATAAATTAGGATAAAATAAAAAGCTCCTGCCAATTATCATTATCTAATGGAAGTATCTCATACGTTTTTTTTTATATAAACCGACAGGTAGAACACGTTGCTTTCACATTCTATTGCTGATAATTAGACAAGAAAATCTACCCCAATGGATACGTTTCATCTATAGACAAGTTTAAAGAAGCTAACCTGCCCAAAAAAAAAAAAAAAAAAAAAGGTATACATCACCTGAAGCAAAATCAGACAAGTATGTCTGCAACAATTTTTTTTTAAAAATATCTACCAATGTCTAGGGTTTCATTCAGCCGTAAGAGGATCATATATACCACACAAGCTATAATCACGCGTTTATACACATGCAGTTAAACGGATGGCCTCTTGGGGGAGAGGGGAGGTACTACCTCTAAATTGCCTGTTTTTGACAACATGAGTGACTCCTATTTTTTGTTTGGTTACGCTTATACCACCGACGGATTCAGTATAATAGTGGGATAGATTCTGTTTCGCCGAGTGATCTATTCATACAGTTTTAGTTCTGCGACTAAAAGATTATTCATAGGGTAAAAAGAAGCATAATTTTTCCTAGGTTACATGCTCGATATTTTTGTATGCGGACCACGCTATGGTGAGAGTATTTTATGAAGAGATCAGAAAAAGACTGCATCCAGGTAAGATCTTCCCAGGGGAAAAAAAGCGCGTGACGAATATCTGCAACACGACGCGTGATTGACGTACAGTGTATTTTACCAGAGTCAATATTATCTAAGCAACGCTTACAAGAATGGGGACTGCTTGTTTTCGAAAAAAAAAAAAAAGATCAATTCAGATGTTCCCCTTCTTTTTTTTTCCCGTTATCTTTTTTTTTTACTTTTTTTTTTGTCAACATAAAAAGAGAGGGACTACCAAGTGTATTGTTTGTTCAGTAGAGAAGAGAAATACCCTTTAACAGTCAAAGACGCAACCTCCATCCTTTTTGTTAAAAGTCTGAGCAAAAAAAGAAGGAAAAGAAAAACTCTCATTGTGAATTCGAAACAGGACTAGAGCCAAAAAGAAGAAATAGATACCCCAATAACAAGAAAGAAAGAAAAGAGATGGAAAGTATTTTACGACTGGATAAGGATACAATTTCGACCGAGACGCTTACACCGGAAAGTGAAGAGATATCGGTTGAAAATGCAAATATACCTAGAACGAAACGTGAGGAAGACGCGTTTATATTGAAAGACACGAGTAACCTTTTACCATCACCTCCTCCTCATGATAACATTTATAATCCACCTACCAAGAGAAAGGCACTTACCTCCATCAAGCTGGAAGTGGAAGAAGACAAATTAGAATTGGTGGCGAAAGGCTGTAAGTGGTGTCAAAGATGTGGTACATTTGAAACGCCTCGATGGAGATATGGACCGGGTGGGCCACTAAGGTAATAACAAACTTTGCATGGGGGTTCTTCTATTTTTTAAATTATTATACGTATAGTTTGTGTAATGCATGTCATCTTCGATGGAAAACCGTAGGTAGACCTGATACTGGATATAGTGCTACTTCATTTCCCCCACCTTTCTATGATGCATCTCCTCGTCAGACCAAAAGAAAATACAGCAAAACAAATATAAAAAGGCAAAAGAAGGAGGCTAACAAGGAAAATAGACTTACAATAATACCAAAATTAAAAGAAAATATGCCTTTATCAACATTACCTATTACATCGGAATCTCCACTATCATCATCATTATCATCATCATCATTAGCACCGCCGCCCCCTCCCCCTCCACCACCTCCACCAACGGCGATTCCTCTAATTATACCTGGTGCATGTACACAATGTCAAACTACGAACACTCCTTTATGGCGTAGAGGTCCATTTGGCTTTAGAACGTAAGCTGGCTTAATATATATATATATGTATGTGTATGTATTATTGACGAATGATTTTAGACTTTGTAATGCATGTGGATTGAAATGGTCCAAAGAAACGGACAATGGACAGAGCAGCGCAAATAAAGCGACTACAAGTGTAGAATATAAAGCGTCTGGCAGTGTACAATATAAACCACCAGTACAATACAAAAAACCAGTGTTACTCCGTCAAAAAAAGGAGTTTATAAAGCATGGACTTTATTCTGAAGAAACGCGAGTTGAAGTAGTTGAAAAGACACGATTTCAGTTTAAATTACCTATCCATCAAGGGGAGTTTATCATGTCCAAAGTTCAGGATTTTGAATTGCCTGTCGATATACTGGAGGAACGTGATTTGGGGTTGATTAAAGGATTGATGGCGGACCGAGAACCGTTTTTCACAAGAATCCGGTCTAATATCTTTGTGGAAAGAAAACCTCAGCATAAAGCAAATGAGCAAGCGGTTTGTCACTGCGTACCACCAACAGAAGAAGGACAGATGGGATGTGGAGAGGATTGTATTAATAGGTAGGAAACAGGCATGATGAGAATAGATCTGGAGAACTAAACATTATTGATTGTAGAATGTTGTTTTATGAGTGTGAACCAAAATATTGCCCTTGTGCTAGTCAATGTTCGAATCAACGATTTCAACGTAAAGAAAGAAAGAAGGGACTTCAAGTATTTCAGACAGAAGGTCGTGGATGGGGGCTTCGAACGACTGGTGATATCAAGAAGGGAGATTTAGTGATTGAATATCGTGGGGAAATCATCTCTCATGAGCTATGTGAAGAAAGAATGTGTACAGTTTATGTGAATGAAAAGAATTTTTATTTCTTAGACTATTGCAACGGAGAAGTGATTGATGCCTGTACAAAGGGAACCGAAGCTAGATTTATCAATCACAGTTGTGACCCTAATTGCCATATAGAAAAATGGTCACTGAAAGGGGAATCTCATTATGGTGTATTCGCTTCCGTTGATATTGGAGCGAACTCTGAACTATTTTATGACTATAACTTTTCGACTTTTAATGGTTCCGTTGAAAGTCAACAAAGATGTTATTGCGGCAGTAAATTATGTCGAGGTACCATTGGCAAGAAGACTTCGGGCATAACTCGCATAAAATAAAATAAAAAAACATTTTTTTTTTTTTGGTTTTGACACGACAATAGAGTCATTTAATTGGACAAAAAAATGATGACGTTTTGGGGAGGTCTATCGGCCAACACCTAATAATAAAAAAAAATAGAGAGCCATTTTTTTTTTTTTTTTTTTTTTTTTTACATTCTTCTAAACCTTTTTTTTTTAAAAAAAACATGTCTTACGAAAACGATAACGAAAGCGCTTCTGATCACGATTTCGGAGATCTCTTTGGCTCAGAAGACGAAGCCTCTGATATCGACGATGGACGATCACAGTCTTCTGCTGAAGGTCATAACTCACCTGTTGCAGCCGTAACAACTCCACCACCAACAAAATCAAATGACCTCGACAATTTATTCGGGAGTGACGATGAATCCGAATCTGAGGATGAATCGAGACAAACCATGAAACACAGAAGGTTCATAAAAATACATGGAAACAGCACACCTTTTTGACACGTATGAAATTAATACACTTTTTAAAATTAGTTCACGTATAGAATCATCAGAGGACGAAGATAGAAGAAGCCCAGCTCGATATGAAGAGGACGAGAATAAAGAAGATTATGATGATTATGATAATCAGTCTAGCAGAAAACAACGCGTGGAGGTCTCACTTGAAATGCCTCAACTTCCTGTACCTTACAGTGATAACGACAAGGTAAAAATAAATAATAATAAGCTATTTTATAGTGGTGTTTAATCACTATTTAATATAGTATTACTTGGCAAAATTACCGCGTTTCTTGGACATCGAAGTCAACCCTTTTGTACCTCGTGAATTCGAAGTACAAATTGAGGAAGGATTGACTGCCAAGCAAGAGCAAGAAGCTATTCGTGAACAAATCGAGAGTACTATTCGTTGGAGAAGAGTGAGACAACATGGGCACGAAGTGAGTTTATAGACAATTATATATATCAGGAAAACTGATTAGTTTTTTTGGGGGGATAAATAGACAATGGAATCAAATGCACATATTGTAGAATGGGAGGATGGCAGAAAGTCGTTAATGTTGGGGGACGAATGTTTCGATTTAGGTATAAAACCAGTTGGAGTAGACGATCATTCCTTCCTGTTAGCACATCAAACGGGTTCTGGCGCACTTGAAAGTCAAACTGAATTCACGGATTTGATGTCATTTATGCCTAGTGGACTTAAGAGTGATACCCATCGTAACTTGACAGCTCAAATTGCCGACAAGCAGGTCAAGAAGAACAGGACAAAGATGTATTTCACAGATAAGGATCCTGAGCTTATGAAGCAAGAGCTTGAATCTCAAGAGAACGAACGACTAAAGGCACAAAAGAAATTGGAGCTGCAGCGCCGAAAGGTGGATATGCGTTATGGAGATAGCACCAGTAGTCGTAGAAACAATGATTTTGGTGATTATGATACCGCAGATTACCCATCTCGTAATGGAGCCAGTAGTCAAGCTCAGGATAGATATGAGGATGATTTCGTTGTGGACGACGATGAATATGATGAAGAGGAGGAGCGATCGAGAGAGAATAGATTATCACAGGCAAAACGCACTGGTATGGATAAATATGCTAAGCGTTCGCGTTATAGTGATGATGAAGATGAAGAGGAAGATGCCGATTATGGTAACGATGACGACGACGAGGAGGAAATTGTTGTTAGAAGACATAAACGTACACGTATTGTCAGTGATGATGACGAGTAAACATTGTATTATAAATCTGCCCTAAAATTAAAAACATAAAAAAAGAGTAAATTCATCATACCATTTATACACTGCCATATAAGTTATAATTCTTATTGTATTTGCTTATGAATCCACCGTGGCATAGATATAGGGGAACACGTTGAACAAATGATAAAACATTAAACTAGCGACTTTATTTTATTTTTATAAATAAAAGCGCCAAACATTACCAGTTTTATCTCACGCTTTTTCTTATTGTTAAAACTTGATATACAATGACTAAAATCACGCACTGCATTTTTGACATGGTAAAGAATATTGAACGACTAGGAAAATGAATATAGCTTTATGTTAAATATTGTTAATCTAAAAGGACGGTCTCCTTTTAGACACGGAACGTGTCTATACCGAAGTGACTCAGCAAATCTTGGACAAGCATGCCAACGGTGTCAAATTTACCTGGGATGTCAAGAGTAAATTAATGGGAAGAACTGGCGATGAGGTATATAGAAACAATCTTTTTCCGCTGTCTTTATCTAACTCCCATGCATAAATCTAGTCTGCCACTATGGTTGTAGAAACCTACAAGTTACCCATGACAGTGCCAGAGTACTTGGAAATCATGTCGACTATTCAAGAAGATCTTTTCCCTCATGTCATGATTCTTCCAGGTGTTGAAAAATTCGTGCGTCATTTGAAAGCTCATGGCATTCCCATGGCCGTGGCCACTTCTTCCACGCGCAATAAGTTTGACCTGAAGACGTCATTGAACAAAGAGTTTTTCGAGCTTTTCGATGTGATTATTTGTGGAGATGATGCCGAGATTAAACGCGGCAAGCCTGCACCTGATCTTTTCTTGGCAGCTCAAAAGCATCTTGGCAACCCACCCTCCGAAAACTGTTTGGTGTTTGAAGATGCGGTGAATGGTGTGGAAGCCGGTTTAAATGCAAATATGCATGTGGTTTGGATTCCCGATGAAAATATCAAATGTTTGACAGGTGATGAGAATCATGGTGCTACTGTTGTTTTGAAATCGATGGAGGATTTGGTACCTGAAGATTTTGGACTTCCTCCTTATGATAAATAATAATAAAAAGAACTATTTTTATTGTTATTACATGAATATATTATCAAAGTCGGACGCCTTCGTAGCAGTGGTTTGAGAAGAGATGATAGGTGAGCCAAACAGGGATGCTAAATCTTCGTTAACAGAGGACTTTTGAAAAGTGTTGTTATCTCCAACGGAGAGCGCGTCAAAGGCAGAGAGATCAAACCCGTATTTAGAGACGGATTTGGAGTTTGGTATACTTGCATTAGCCGTAGCTGCAGCTGTCGCACCAGCAGCAGCAGCAGGTTGCCCATTTGATTTTTTGAATCCAGCAAAAGGATCAAACACTTGAGGTGATCCAATATCACTACGAGGCGACATCATGGCCGAGCTACCGGAGAACGACGAAGGTGCTCTTGTCAACTCTGGTAAAGATGAAAGGAACACAGTGTTGGGTGTATTTGATTGTGTGGTAGAAGAAGAATGCCCCCAAAGTTCATCTCTCTTTTGTTGCTCGCATTCTAATAGCTTTTCTTGCTCTTGTGCATTTCTTTGTGCAGCTTCCATCTCGTGCTTTGCATGACTCACTTCCAATTCCAATTGATGAATACTTTGTTTCTCAGCTTGGTGATGAGATTGCGTTGTTTCCAACGCTTTTTGTTGAAATATGACTTGTTGTTTTAGTTCGACCAATGTATTTTCAAGCTCGTAACGATGGTCTAATTCAGCTTGCTGTTGTTGCAAAGCTAATTGTCTGTTCGGAACAGTAGGTGATGGAGTAAACTGTATAGGGGTATGATCTAATTTCAATTAGAGCAAATAAAAAAGGGTAAGTGATATGATTTTCTTGGCTTGTTTGTAATACGAACATATGTCGATCCTTTCGCCATTTTTACGCAGGTTTATCAAATGCATGGCCACACAGAAATCGTGAAAGTCCAACTTTCCCAAGCATCTGCTATCAGCAATTTCCCAAATCAAGCCTAACTCTGCATCAGAAAGACGAGAGTGGCTAAAGAAATACACAGCTTCATCGGCATCTATAAATCCTGAATTATCAGTATCCAGTTCATTAAAATAAGGCCTGTATTGATTCATCTCTTGTGGCGATAAGGAGACAGAAGAGTGAGTTGTATTTGTCCTTGAGTTGAAGGAAGATGCGGTAGTATGGCTTGTGACAGGGGACATGATGGGCTGGATGGTACCTCTAGTGGCGATGACGGGAGATTTGACAGTGTTATGTCTGTGGATGGGGGTATTGAAACGACCAGCAGCCTCTGAATAAGTTTGAGAAGGTAATGTTTGTGGCAAAATAAAGGATGGATCCGACATACATCGTGATATATAATGCATGGCAATGATGAACTCTG